CAATGGATCTGGTATTATGAATGGGCCTGTTTTAACTAGTTTGAACCGCTGTGTCTAGTAATGGGAACGATAACAGACAGAATCTTCTGTGGCAGCCCAGATTCTGAACCGAAGCAAATTAAACTGCGCTGAGATGTATCAGAGTGTTCGTTTGAGAAACATAGGCGACAATCCTGAAAGTGGTTTATTAGCAGTGGTTTAAAAAAAGGCCTAGAGATCTCACTTAACTTAGAGTAATGGCGGTCTATTCCACCAGATGTGTACCAACGGTTGACGTTTGCATCACACCAATCCTGTAGTGGGATGGACCGGTGTTATAGTTTCGGCCTACTTTGAATAGTCTGAAAGTGGTTTATTAGCAGTGGTTTAAAAAAAGGCCTAGAGATCTCACTTAACTTAGAGTAATGGCGGTCTATTCCACCAGATGTGTACCAACGGTTGACGTTTGCATCACACCAACCCTGTAGTGGGATGGACCGGTGTTATAGTTTCGGCCTACTTTGAATAGTCTGAAAGTGGTTTATTAGCAGTGGTTAAAAAAAAGGCCACGAATGTCTTTTAATGTACCGAGCAACCCTAATATACTTGAATTTGACTGGAAAGAACCATATCTTTTTCATCATGAAGACTGAAGATACACAAGGATTCATATCCCATCTCGTCCAGTACTAGTTTCAAACAAATCACGTCTATATTTTGCCAACGTCAATACAGACATACCCCGCCTAAGTCCAAATGAGTAATTCTTGGACGCACTTAATGCCACCTGGTGAAAAGATGTCAATATCTCATTACGATAGCAAATTATTTCCGAACAAGCAGCTGTCAAGTCTATCAACATGTATCAACAGTTGGTGACAGATGTTAACTCCAAAGTCTAGGCTATGACTATAACGTCATATTTACCCATCTACCTCGCACCCCCAAAGATCATAGAGACTCTGACTGAGGACCTCCCCCCCTCTCCCTAATGATTTAATAGAAATTTTATAAAATAACTACTCTAAAGTACTTGTATTGCAATTTATTTGTTTAGAAAAATCAAGCATAAACAGTGATATTTCTTGAAATAAATAAAATTATTGTCAAGAAAAAAAAAAGATATTTCTTTGTAAGGTGAGTTATTCTCGCAGGGCCCCCAGTTCGTTAGAAATCACTGGATTACACAACCTATTTGAGCAGTTACACATGAAATCAAGAAATTACCCAAGTGGCCAATAAATATCTCTATTTTTGGTGAGTTAGTCTCGCAGGGCCCCCAGTTCGTTAGAAATCACTGGATTACACAACCTATTTGAGCATTTACACATTAAATCAAGAAATTAACCAGGTGGCCAATAAATATCTCTATTTTTTTGAAACATAGAGAAAAGTTGATGTATTAACAGAAAAGCTAAGTAAATAAAAACACGTGGCTGAACTTATGTAAGCACTAAATACTTGATTAAATATCACGTGGTGTTATACTTACTTTGAAAGAGGCCAGGAACCAGCTTGTACACAATGTCTTGCAGAGTTTTGTCAGCCCTATATACGAAACAGAAAAATAAACATATGAGCATTGTAAACACAATAATTTGTCAGTTCCATAGGAAACGTTGAAAAACGCACACATCTTATGAGCAAAATAGACTCAGTATTTTTGTCAGTTCCAAACGAAACGTTGAAAAACGCACACATCTTATGAGCAAAATAGACTCAGTATTTTTGTCAGTTCCAAACGAAACGTTGAAAAACGCACACATCTTATGAGCAAAATAGACTCAGTGTTTTTGTCAGTTCCATACGAAACGTTGAAAAACGCACACATCTTATGAGCAAAATAGACTCAGTATTTTTGTCAGACCTATGTGAAACATTTAGACAGTGTAAAAACAATAATTTCTCAGCCCTATTTCCAAGAGAGGAAAACACACACACACGTTATGAGCATTGTGAACACAGTAATTTGACAGTCCCAAACGTAACGTTGAAAAAAAAGCGTACAACTTATGGGCAAAATAGACAGTATTTTTTGTCAGACCTACACGAAACAGAAATAAAGCAAACACACGTACGTCAGTATTATACACAGAACAGAAAAAGGAATACATACACATCTTATGGGCAAAATAGACAGTATTTTTTGTCAGACCTACATGAAACAGAAATAAAGCAAACACACGTACGTCAGTATTATACACAGAACAGAAAAAGGAATACATACACATCTTCTGGACAATATACATAGTGAATAAATGTGGTCAGACATATATGAGACAGAAAAACCATATTTCATATCAACAAATGGTGGATTGAACATATTACAAGAGCAAAATACTAATTATTTTGCTTATAAGTTCAACTACATTAATAATACGATCTGGAACAGAATAGAACATGGAATCGAAGACGTTAAATTTTGCTTACATATGTTACTATTAATCAAGAAAAAATCTATAGAAAATAGTTCTGGAAAACAGAGTGTATATATATATATAATTTCTTACTTATATAGGCTTATATTGCACAAAAGATATGTTTTTGTGAAACATATTTTGGTAACTTATAAGTGGACACCGAGGAACCAACAAAAAATAATTTCATAGTTTATTTAGACTGTTACCTGTATGTAAGAATATCCAGCAACAGAATTAAACCATTTGTATGTGTATTAAGCGATTTATTAGCTATACGTTACAATGTGCAATAGAGGGTTAATTACATTAACAAATATTGGCTTAGTTACCTGATGTTCAACAGAGGGCGTGTCTTGTGTACTTGGACCTCACAAATCGGACAAAACTTGTTGGTGTCCAGATAACGTACGATGCAAGTTTTACAAACTAGAAGGATGATAAACAAAGTTATTTTATTAATCACACAAAACATCTGTATATTACGTTTAATTTACATGTTTCTAGTAGAGAATGATACCATGATACAATAATACAATGATACAATAATACAGTAATACAGTGATACAATAATACAATAATACAGTGATACAATAATACAATGATGCAATAATACAATGATACTATGATACAATAATAGAGTGATACAATAATACAGTGATACAATAATACAATGATACGATGATACAATAATACAATGATACGAGATACAATGATACAATAATACAATGATACAATAATACAATGACACAATAATATAATGATACGATGATACAATGATACGATGATACAATGACACAATAATACAATGATACGATGATACAATGATACGATGATACAATAATACAATGATACGAGATACAATGATACAATAATACAGTGATACAACAATACAGTGATACAATAATACAGTGATACAATAATACAATGACACAGTGATACAATAATACAATGACACAATAATACAATGATACGATGACACGATGATACAATAATACAGTGATACAATAATACGATGCTGGAGTGTCATCAATCTGATGGATAACAATTTTTTCATGTTTCCACTCCGCTTTCACCACATAGCTTTCTGTATAATGATTAAACATACTGGAGAAAAATTAATAAGTATGCGATGTAATACAGACTTTCTGAACAAAAGAATATCAAATGAAACTATCAATACCTTCTATAATATATTCGGTGGAACTCTAAAATGTGTCAGGAATACTTGTAACACGCGTCATTATGGTATCTCAAGAGTCTCCAACGGTATATTAGGTACAACTCTAAAATGCGTCAGGAATACTTGTAACACGCGTCATTATGGTATCTCAAGGGTCTCCAACGATATATAGGTACAACTATAAAAATGTGTCAGGAATACTTGTAACTCGCGTCATTATGGTATCTCGAGGGTCTCCAACGGTTTATTAGATACAACTCTAAAATGCGTCAGGAATACTTGTAACCCGCGTCATTATGGTATCTCGAGGGTCTCCAACGGTTTATTAGGTACAACTCTAAAATGCGTCAGGAATACTCGTAACTCGCGTCATTATGGTATCTCGAGGGTTTCCAACGGTATGTGATGTACAACTCTAAAATGCGTCAGGTACACTTGTAACACGCGTCATTACGGCATATCAAGAGACAATTCCAAAATGTGTCAGGGATACTTGTAACTCATATGCCCTTCAGTATGGTCCCGGGGACAGTTTTATGAAATCTCAAGGAAACTTGTAAGATATAACTGGAACAATATTATTAGCCGCGGCATAGTGGCTCATAGAACGTCTCTAAGTTTTTGCTTGTTTGTTTGTTTTTTAAGTACAAACTTTTAGCTCGTAGCTCCATCATCTCTTGACCGATTTGAGATTTATTTACAGTTTTGGTCTCAGAAGGTCAAACCCTTTCGATTGATGTATTTGACCACGCCCAAGGTCTCATAGCTTAATTTACTCTAATCCTGCCTAAAAGAATTTCAATTTAGAGGGGTAGACTGTTAGAGAAGAAATCCTGATGAGTAATAAAATTAAATCGGGTATACGCGCGCCCTATCCTTGGTATTGCTGGCGCATAAAAATATAACTAATAAAGAAGGGGGGGGGGAGGTCTCATAGATTAATTTACTTTACTCCTGCCTAAAATAATTTCAACGGCTATTGAGGATTCCATCTTGTATAACATAGCACATGTAAAGTATAACAAAACGTTTCAATAAAATATAATTACTTATAAGTCAAATCCGGTTTAGTATCTCAAGGAAACTTGTATAACATAACATTAGCGGTTGTGAAAAATATCAGGATTAAGTTTAAAGTACAACGCACGTAAGTGATATGTAAAATGTTACACTCCCCAATTATATCTTATGGCTGTCAATAAAACAGTTCAAGCTTACTTTAATGATATCTCAGGCATGCATATCTTTGATGTCTCGAAGTCATGTCATTTGTATCATATCTTAGGCATGCGACTCTGATGTCTGAGGGTCATGTCATTTGTATCATATGACAGGCATGCGACTCTGATGTCTGAGGGTCATGTCATTTGTATCATATCTTAGGCATGCGACTCTGATGTCTGAGGGTCATATCACTTCTATCATATCTTAGGCATGCGACTCTGATGTCTGAGGGTCATGCCATTTGTATCATATCTTAGGCACGCGACTCTGATGTCTGGGGGTCATGTCATTTGTATCATATCTTAGGCATGCGACTCTGATGTCTGAGGGTCATATCCTTTGTATCATATCTTAGGCATGCGGCTCTGATGTCTGAGGGTCATATCATTTGTATTATATCTTAGGCATGCGGCTCTGATGTCTGAGGGTCATGTCATTTGTATCATATCTTAGGCATGCGACTCTGATGTCTGGGGGGTCATGTCATTTGTATCATATCTTAGGCATGCGACTCTGATATCAGGGGGTCGTGTCATTTGTATCATATCTTAGGCATGCGACTCTGATGTCAGGGGGTCATGTTATTTGTATCATATCTTAGGCATGCGACTCTGATGTCTGGGGGTCATGTCATTTGTATCATATCTTAGGGACGTTATATATATATTAAGAACATTTGGAAGATAACATTTCAAAATTGTCTTTGAACGTCTCATAATCCCTTTTACGAACTATAAGTCTGACAGTAACATCCGTTGTGACGTGGCATAACAAATTCATAGATCATTTCTCTAGTTATCAGGGTTCAACAGTTGTTTACGTGTGTAATCTAAAAACACTGTGGCACATCTGTTTCAGGCACTGTTTAGAGTCCTTAGTACTGTATACTTTTGACCGCTAAGCCTATATTTTGTTTCCCGGTGATCTGGGCATTAGTATTTATGGATTAGTCCGTTCCTCGTCAAATCACAAACTATGAGTATTATTGATTGTCTTGTGATTTAATAGCGATTCTAATACCTTTAGACAGATTCATTCGGGAACTAGATACTCAGAAGTAATACGATTTTTCTTGATTTCCATTAAAAAAAACAAAAAACAACCTGCGGTATCTCAGTAAGGAAGACTATATATATATATGATACTATGTCATAAATTGTTGGAATATAAGCTAAGCAGAGTGTGGATTAATGTAGTTATTTATACTTGAAGTCGGGTTTTACATCAGTCGCGTGTGTCGTTGTGTATGTTAATAAATTCAAGAAATGTGGGTTATGATGAAAAATTAGATTATCGGTTAGAACTAAAATAAAAAGTGGTTGTTAAAAAACATTAATGGACCATGTAACTCGATCTGTTTTTAATAATTAAAGTATTACAAAAAATAAGCGTTACTTACAAGAAGTAAGGGGGTAGGTTATGTATCCCTCTTACTTTTTCATTAAAAGGGGGAGTCACCCCCTTACAGTTTAACTGTAATAGTCTGTTGAGTCATTTGGGCGTGCTCTCGCTGAAAATATAAACCACTCTCCGCTCAAGCCCCCACCTCTCCACAACTTTTAAAGCCAAAATTGGGCTCGTATTATTCATTGTCCTTGGAGTACCCCACAATCAAGTTTCTACTGCTATAACACGATATGAATGTTTATTATATACTAACGGGTAAAGTGAAAACATTACAACGTTAACAGCCGACGTTAAAATGACAAAAAATTAGATATTTTTGGATTGGTCATCAAAAGCGAAAGTAAGTGCGTCAGGGGGTGGGGGATATTAGCTTCCCACAATCCCCTGCTCCATCTGATTTGTTTCACATTCACGCGCAAAACTACATAACAGATATCTATCTGCGCAAAGTCGTCCCTAATTTTTAAATAATAGACTAGAGGGAAAAACATCTAGTCAAAAGCACCCGCCGCCAACTCTTAGGCTACTAATCGAATAGTGGGTATTTGACCGTTTCTATTTTAACGTAACGTCGCGCGAACAATGAATCTTCGGGTTGACAGTATGGGCACTGCTGTTTTGAAAAACAATATTACCAAACAATGTCTTAATGAAATGACTTTTCTTTCAGTGTGAATCTCATTCAAAGCCACATGAACGTTAATTTGATTTTATGTTTGTTTGTTTGTAATCAAGCACAAAGCTACACAATGGGATATCTGTGCTCTGCCTATCACGGGTATCGAAACCAGGATTCTAGCGTTGTAAGTCCGCAGACATACCACTGTGCCACTGGGGGGGGGGCGGATTTTATGCAGAGAAATATTAGGTTACTGCGTTTATCAATACCCAAAAATTAATACCCTGCGTCCACCATCGATACTATCTGTAGACGTTGAGCTCTGAGAAATTATATCATAATGAATGTCAATAACAATGACTAATGAACACTGAGACTAAACAATAGCACGCTTGTAAGTCACTTGTAAACCGAAACTTTTGTCTTTCATTAATACCGGCTATTGTATCCCTATTAATGAAATCGATGACCGCAGAGAAACGTTTTGAAAGATTTATTTACAACAGCAATACGTAATTAATTAACGAGTCTACACGTGTGCAGGATATCAATCAGTACATACGCGGAGCGGTGGGGTGAGACAGATGATGCAATTTTACGTGACTAGCACCTGTCACGTGCTCTACAAGAAAGCACGATACAGAGTTTCTACCAATAAACATCAAAGGCGTCGGAACTGGGGGTGCTGTAGCACCACCAATTTTACATATTTGACCCATATAGCAACTGTAAATTATATTATTATATTAATTTTATGGGGGACATGCCCCCAGACCCTCTAGATTGAGATGCCTTTGGCAGCTCCTTATTCTTTCAATCTTTCGTTATCAAATCTGCATGTCTAGCCAAGCACCCACTCCTTTTACACCACTGAACATCAAAGTAAAAATATTGTAAATAAATGTTTAGGCACTATTCCGTCCAAGATGTCGCTCAGAATTTCAGTAATTGTACGTCCTCCCCTCGTGGATCACCAGGATTCTAGCGTTGTAAGTCCGCAGACATACCACTGTGCCACTGGGGGGGGGGGCGGATTTTATGCAGAGAAATATTAGGTTACTGCGTTTATCAATACCCAAAAATTAATACCCTGCGTCCACCATCGATACTATCTGTAACGTTGAGCTCTGAGAAATTATATCATAATGAATGTCAATAACAATGACTAATGACATTAACGATGACAATAACAATGACGATGTGTTTGGTGACGTAATAAGAGCAACTTAATCATCAATACTAAGAGGCTGAGTGTAAAACTGTTCGTATATGTATACACACCTTGATAATTCATTCTATAAACTCGTGTTTCAAAATAATACTTTTGCAAAAAAACATTAAAAAAATTTGAAATGTGGCAAAAACTGAATACAATATTTAAAACTACAATGATTTTATTATAACTTGTGAAACTACACCGTACATAAAAATGTCTGCATGAAAATGATGATAATGAATTAGGAAAATTGAGAAGGAAATATTGATTATGGATGCCATAAATTAGTGCGTGGCTGTTGACAATGAAATACTGACCTTCAGTTATGTACGTCAATAAGCGAATAATGAGAATTAAATTACTTCCAGATATCAATATAAAGTTTAAAAAGAAATACTGATGATATATTCTGTAAATTAATATATCAAAATATAACTCATTTATTTGTTTAGAATAACATCATTTGATCTGTGAACTGCTGCACGGAAGTTCTCGTTTTCAACAAGACACGTCCCCAATGGGACAGCGGTAAGACTACAGATTCACAACACTAAAATTAGAGGTTCGATTCTCCTCGATGTGGCTTTGCTATGAAAAACACACGATACGTAACAAGACACGTCCAAATCAATATTTTACAAGTCACAGTTAAAACAGTTTCAACAAAAAAATGATGTAATTATTCATACACATATTTTTCACGGGGGACATGTCCCCCACAGTTTTTTTTATAGGATACCCCCATGTATATCCTATTTACAGAAACTGTCTTCTTACATACTTTTGAAAACAAAGTTACGTCATTATATGTAGTGGAGTTCTAAATTAATTTCATATGATCAATGAAACTTTTTTTTTCAAAATTAACCGACAGTACGAAACTTTCTTACAGAGAATTTATATGTATATATTAATAGAAGAAGGGCGAAAAATTAAAAGAAGAAAAGACACATTTCCACAAAACTGTTGAAGGGACGAGGCCACTAATTCATATACGAGAAGAGGAGTTACATCGACTTGCGAACACGTGCCATATGGCGCGAGTCTCGCACAACACGGGGAGTTTGAAGTGCGAATGTGATGGTTGACACGCGCGGGAAGAATGAAGCCCACAGAAAACTAGCTATTGATTTCTTTCTACGCGGTATACTCAAAGCGTATATTTGAAGGATCTCTAACAACACAATGACACAAAACAATCTACTGATGCGAATTCCCGACGGAGATCAAATAGTTTTAAGTCTCTTTGGGTACCCATTCGTTACATTATCAAATAACTATGGTATTTAAGACATTTTTCGTGGCGAATCACGAATGCCACAAGTATTGATTAAACTGGACGACAACCAGGACACGTCTGACTTCCAACTAACAACAACGCATAGCTTGGAAGCCACATTCGAAGAATTTTGATTTGAATTCCTACATTGTTTGTTTGTTTGTTTTGTGTTTTTTTTTAAATTTCGCGCAAAGCTACA